CACACTAACACACACACACCATGGTTCTGTGTGTACACACACTAACACACACACACCATGGTTCTGTGTGTACACACACTAACACACACACACCATGGTTCTGTGTGTACACACACTAACACACACACACCATGGTTCTGTGTGTACACACACTAACACACACACACCATGGTTCTGTGTGTACACACACTAACACACACACACCATGGTTCTGTGTGTACACACACTAACACACACACACCATGGTTCTGTGTGTACACACACTAACACACACACACCATGGTTCTGTGTGTACACACACTAACACACACACACCATGGTTCTGTGTGTACACACACACACATCATGGTTCTGTGTGTACACACACTAACACACACACCATGGTTCTGTGTGTACACACACTAACACACACACCATGGTTCTGTGTGTACACACACTAACACACACACACCATGGTTCTGTGTGTACACACACTAACACACACACACCATGGTTCTGTGTGTACACACACTAACACACACACATCATGGTTCTGTGTGTACACACACTAACACACACACCATGGTTGTGTGTGTACATATTAAAAGTCTTAGGGGATTAAACATCATGGAAGTTCTCAGAGGATGTGGGAACCGCCCGTCACAAGCACAGAAGTACTTAAATGACATCACTTAGCCTGACTCAGCTGGGATGGTCTCGGCACCATGAACACTGAAACACACCCTGGTGGTCAAAGCTCCGCAGAAACCGACATCCATGTTGGATCAACGGGTGCAGCTCGCTGTGAAAGCCGAGGGGACCTCAGAGCCTGAATGTCGGAGGAACTCAGCCAGTACACTTGGCCTTATGTCACTGTACGGGACGGCCCTTTGCCCTTCGATGTTTTGGATTTTAACCAATCATATAATGATGCAGTTTGGAGTGACAGACCAAACAACRAATCAGAGGAGGAGAACGTGAAATGGGCGTGACCTTAGGGCTAGGGTGTCGCCGTGGAGRCTCTGTGAAGGCGACGGCAGTCGTCGGTAATTCAGCTGTAATCTCGTGTAAAACCAGAATAATTCGGAGGAACAGACAATCTGGGTCTCATCCATGCTCGGTTCGGTGCCCAGTGTTGTCGGCAGGCTCCTGGGATGACGGCGGACATCTGATGATTAGCTCTCCGTTAGTTTGAAGAAAGACCGAGTCCGGGTAGAGACAGACAGGGAGCCATTTTGTCCCAACTGTGTGTGTGTTGTGTGTCTGTGTGTGCGCGGAGAAAAGAGAGTGGAAAAGAGGACTCACACGAGAAGAGTGTATTTTTGTGTTTTTTGTATTCGTGTTGTAGGAGAACCTGGGATTGTGAACTTGTTTGGATTATTTAGGACTTGGAGGACCTGGTCAGACTAGCAGGGCGCTGGCTTTAGACTTCACGTAGGCGTGTTAGTTGACCTCTTTTTCTTTTAACTTTGTGTGTGGGTGAACACAAACTGCTTCAATGGCTAAGAAGACGTACGACCTGCTGTTCAAGCTGCTGCTGATCGGGGACTCGGGTGTGGGGAAGACCTGTGTGTTGTTCCGCTTCTCTGACGACGCCTTCAACACAACCTTCATCTCGACCATAGGTAAGACACAAACACACACCTGGATGTGTGCTGCAGGTGTTTCTCATGCTGCTGAACCTGTGTCAGAAGCCGTTTGACAGCGGGGGGAGTCTGAGCCCACCGTGCAGCTGCAACAGCAGGCACGACATATTTAGCTTATTAGCTAGCTGCTATGCTAGCATCCATCTCGTCTCCAGGCCTGACAGGCTAACAGATTATTCCAGATTAAAACACACTTTTATTGTCTGTTCCTCATGAAGTTAACATATAAATCAAACAGTTTCAGCTTAGCTTGACCCTAGAGGATCCCAGTGTTGCTGTCATGTCTGAGGCTAATGGTTTGTTAGCACTGCAGGGCCTCGATGCTAGTGACATGTAGCAGCTAGCATGCAGCTATGTTTACCTGTAACTGTAGTAAATGTGTGAGTGTTAAATCAAACTGATGGGKAATGACAGAACCACAAGTTTAAGTATCTTATAACAAGTTTAACAAGCTTCAAGTAAAAGTTCAGATGAATTATGAACTTTACTTCGAGTATYAAAAGTAAAACTTGTAGTTTTTCACTACCAGTACTGTGGTCAGTAACTCTGTTCTCTTTATAAGTTTATTAAAAGTTAACTTGGCTAATGAGATGATTTAGTTTGTGTACAATTTAGATGTAATGATGGTGGGATAGAAAATGTGTTTTAGTACAGTTAAGATGGGTTTATGTGAAACAAAGTTTAATTTTGAGACAGCTCAATTTGTTACAAAACTCTAAACATTTCATGTTTGTCCTGGTTGATCCAAAAGAAAAACCTGGTTGGTTACAATTTATATGGGTTTGGTGAGAACATATTTAGTCTAAAGACACACATTTAGTAGGTACATATCAGCAGTACGTAAAGTCAGTTGTGAGGAAGTATTTTGGCTACACAAAGCCTGACATTAACCTACACAAGGTACTTTGTTGGCAGTGGCTTGTAGTTGTTGTCACAACAAAAGGTAAGATGACTTCTGCAATTAGTTTAGATTACAAAATCAAATGTTAATGTAGCCCAAAACATAAACACATTAATCTTAATTAATTAAAGAAAGAGTTAAAATGACTGAAAATAAGTCAAATAACAAACTGACTGTTTTAGACTAAAGTTTATTTTGTGGAAAAACATGTTTGGATGTTAAACTCTGACAGTTTGTTGCTCCAACGCCCTGCTTGACCTCATTTCCTCCTGAACATCTTCAGGAGTCGACACTTGTTCAGTTCATCATGTTGTTTACACACAGATGTCAGCCTAATGTGGTCCAGTTGTGTTACCAAGCTGCCACGTGGCTTTCAGCACCTTCAGCTCAGTGTTTTGTTTGTACGCAGTGTGGACCTGCATTTCTTAACACCAAGAGATGGGCAGGGATAAATAGTAAAACACATTTGGTTACATGTTTCAGTGAGATATTTAAACAATCCAGTGTGGTGCCTGTCAGTCGTACAGTGTGCTCTGACTCACACACACACACATGAGTCGACCGTTAGGTTGTGTCACATCCATCACAGCCAACACTTCATCTGCACCTGCTGCTTCACATCAGTGCTGAGTCATGAAATGTTACAGTTGTGTTTCTGGACACACTCTGTCCTCGATTCTTAGACTTGAGGTTTGCTTTCAAGTTCACAKTTTAGTAACTTTGTTAGATTATAGTATTGTTTGAACAGGTAACTCACAGAACAGAGCTTGCTTTTACACTTAGACATGTGTGTTTTATGATTTAGCTTTTGTTTTCACTTGTGTTTGGACTTCACCGTGCTCAGTTTCATTTCTGAAAATGAGTTTGAAGCTTGACAGAGCTGAGGAACACCTCCCCGTCAGAACATTTTCCAGCTGAGATGTGTCCTGGTGTTAAACAGGGCCTGAACAGGTCCTTCWGCAGGTGGGAACCAGGAGGAAACTTTGCTCCTAAAAGAGAGCAGGAGGTCTTTCCAGACACACTGGATTGTGAGTTGGTGCCTGAGTGTACAACAACAACTGGTTTTCTCATTTCATTCAGAGAAATGAAGACTTAGCAGGATGGGCTCCAGTCATATCTTTATTTTACACAGAAGTAATCATGTCTGTTTACAATGATTGTGGAGACTGAGTAGAGGTAGGATTACTGTACATTAACAGATTTCAGACCTGCTCGAATGAAACAACAAATAAACTGCTAACAGTAACATGTTTGTCAAAGCTTAGCTCAGTTTATGTGACTAAAATTGCTGATGTGTGAAACTGGCACCAGACTTTTAGTCTGCTCACCTTCCAGCAGCAAACCTCAGTGAGGAACATGAGTGAAGGTTACTGCTACATAAATGACTGATCATCAGTCCATCCAGCAGTGGGACGAACGTACAATCAGTCCAACATAAAAGTCTCAGGTTTACCTTTGTAACACCTGTAAATAGTTAACATCTTTAACCCAGCACTGAAACTGCAATCAGCGTTCATTGGCTGTTGTTCCTGTTACTCATATAGGTGAGTAATTTTATACTCTGACATTGATGTATCTCAGTAATCCAGGTAGAAAAATGAAGAATAAAAATCAGTAGATCGTCTGGACGGTTCTTCTTTAATGAAACGTTTCGTCTCCTCTGACTTCTGAGGAGTTTCAGGTGAACTCAGCATTAAGAGTATCCTCCACATGGTGGACAGACAGGTGAGGCTGGGTGATACACACAAAAACATCAATTTTTTTATTTGTCGATATCGATAATCTGACGATTCTTTCTTAATAAATAAATAAACATGCTGTCAAACCCTGCTTGCTTACTAGGACATCTATGGACATGATAAACCGTGTTTACCCTAGGAAATTGGTCTGGGGGTGGAGGTGGTGGGGGGGCTACTTGTTTTATAAAACCATAAATTTACACAACTTGCCTTCAATTATGGTGATAAATTTACACACACATGAATATTTAATTGCCTAACTAAATCCTAAAGTTAAGGACTACATGATAATTATCAATCGTAGCAAATTCTTATTGATAAGTGATCAGAACTGTGTGCAGCAGATGATCTGAGCACAGAGTAGGGCTGTCACAAACTATTATTTTTATAGTCGACTAATCACATCATACGTTCATCGTATATAAAACAAACACCCACCCACCCTTGAATAATGATGGGGAAACACTGGTAAACTACAAAAATATCTGAAACATGGTCTCCTAGAGAACATGGTGATGTTCTGATGATGATGAGGAGGAGGAGGTAAACATTATTGTTCATCAGTGAACAAATCTGACTCACAACATGTGTGCACGCTCAGTTCAGGCTCAGTTTGCACTTTGTGTAGCGTGGAGTGTGTGCATCCTCACCAGTGATGGAGGGCTTTATACTTGGTGTTTACATCATTGTAGTATTCTCCATGTGGCAGAGTACTTTATGACTTGTGAAATGTAGTACAGGACAGTAAAATATGAACTAACAAACTGTTTGAATGTTGCATGTCATGTGAAGCCTCTGCACATGGAGCTTGGTCACATGTGCAAAGTTGGACATATCTGTTGGATGATGGTGCTCTGAGCACAAATATTTAATATAAAGTTTGGTTTTAGAGACCAAAGAGTGAAGTGGAATGAGGAGAACAGAGGTTAACTCCTGACCCGCCCAGCTCTGCTCTCATTGGATAAAAGTGCTCTGGGGTTTGTTTGGTTTGTTGAAAGGAGCATCCCGTTTGGARCAGAGTGGGCAGCTTCAACAAGACCACAACAGAAAACAATCAGTCGTGCCCCCCCCCCCGGATGATGAAATCCACACTGGTCACCTTCATAGTTATAAAAATCTGCTGTGGAGACGGAGAACTTTAATCCCTGTGGTTTTGTCTGCTGCCAGTCCAAGACTAAATTACCACCGACACCAGTCACATGACTGAATCCTGGCTGCTAATTGGTTTCTGTGGTAAATATTCCACGAAGGGGGACTTATGGCACCACCGTGTTTGTTGTCTTTTGAAAAAAGTATGAAAACTCCATAATGTAAAATTGTACATCTTCAAAGCAACATGGATGATGTCGTCTGTGAAATATATCTCACACCTCTACAACAGGTTAGACACGTAAAAGAGGACCATCAGCCAAACAATGCATCGTTAGTAAAAGAGGACCATCAGCCAAACAATGCATCGTTAGTAAAAGAGGACCATCAGCCAAA